CGGCGTGAGAACTAAGTTAGATGCCGTTGTGCCTTACGGGTGTGAAAAGCAGTGTGAATTACGAGTCAGCTCTGTAGTAGTAAATCCTGGTTAGATTTGCTGTACAGGCTAGAGGGTGAAGACCGAGGGGAAGTGGCCATCTAGCCAGCCCTGGTTCGTCAGCAGAACGGTGCAAGACTGATCGTGTGATTTCTTCCTGCGTATTACTTTTGTCTCTTTTTCGCCGTACGCGAAAGCGGATTAAAAAACGTAGTCTAACTGGCGCTTAACCTCCAATGCCTTGTGCGGTTTGTTTTCGGCCGTAAAATACTTAACCCAGGGGACTGACAGTTAGCTTTGCACGTATGCTATGCATTCGAATTCGCTAGTACGCACAAAGTCCTAAATACATTTGGAGATGGAATGCACAGGTGAGGTCTATAAAATATTCCTACGTCCAACAGATAAACAAAAGCTTCTTAAACCTGATTGAGTCACCAGATTTCGTCTGGTTCACAATTATACCGCTACCAAAAATCCTGCAGGATTTGTATACGACGCATCCCCTCCAGATAAACACCTTTATCAGAACAGTTTTAAATCACCGTGCTACGAAACTTTCTGCCTTATGATTCCACGTGCTTTTTAGCTGAATGTAGTTATTGCGGGGGGAAGAGAGCGCTGTTTGACACTATAAGGCCAGCTGATCACCTTTTTGATTTCGGTTCACTTGAACTTACTGCGTTGAAGAATCATTTTTTCTCCTTGAAAAAAAAACTATTCACTCTTTTGTAAGAGCCTCAGCCGGATTAAATTGGCGGACATTTGCAGCGGACATTTCAAGGTCGAAGCACGCGTGACCTGGAAATGCCCGCAAGCGCACAGCGCGCATGCCAATCGAGGAGGCCTATTCGATCGTCCTCCAAAATTCATGTGTCCTTAGAAGGCGCGCAAAGCCATTGATCATACGACAGAGAGCTTACAGGACAAAATAGGTCGTCTGGCTGCCCCGATCACGTGTTCGTGTGGACTTTGACGTCAAAGAACGCAGGCCGATTGGAAACAGCGGCTAATGCCACATTTTCAGAAACTTTAATTTCTTTCTAGCAGTTGAATGAACTTACCTGTGGTAGATTGTTGACGTCCCTTAATAATGACTGGTTGACTACTTGGTACACGACTGATCAAGTACCTTCTTCCTGAAACGGCCAAAAGTGAATTCATAGTGTCTGAGCGTCTTGGCAGTTTGTTTTCCACCCTGAAGTTCTCAACCCAGAGGCCTGACAATTGTCTTTGCACATGTGCTATGCACTTCGGTTTATCGGTGGTCAACCCATCAAAACAGTTACCTGCTTTCGCTACTTGGGCTCTAGTATACCAGTCAACTGACAGGTCAAAGGAGAAATCAGGAACCAAATAGCGTTGGCTCGAAATGCAATTAAGCGGCTAGCCAGACCACTCTAGTCTCGCTTAGACATCAGCTTATACAACAAACTGTTAATATACAGAGCATCCATCCGACTGGTATTAGTATTTGCCTACCAAACATGGCCAGTGAGAAAGGCCGACATCCTATAACTCGAAGCCTTAGGCCGTTGGTGTCTTCGATGCCTCCTAAGAGTCTCCTGGCAGGATTGAATTTCCGATTCATAAGAAGAAGCGACCACTGGAACAAGAGTTTTTATTTTACTGACGTTTCGGATCCTGTCAAGAGTCCTTAATCCAGTGGTCGCATCTTCTTCTTCTTCTGAACTGCTTCCTCGAACTCGCATATTCACTTTTATTGAATTTCCAATATTGAGCTAGCTTGCAGGTGTTTCAAACTTCCGAGTCTAGCATCATACATCCAGCATTGCCGATTACAATGCTTTAGCCATTTCTTGCGCAAGACGTCAACGGATCTTTGCAGATTAGTCGTGAAACCCTCTCGGAGGGCAAACTGGAGATACCTACTGGGCGATCAGCTGAAGACGTGGCTGGACACTTTCAAATTGGACGTCGAACGCATGGTCCTCGTAACAGTTTACGGCTTGCTACAATGGAACAAGAAGTGGCTTTACATCTACGATGAGTTCGCTTCCGATCGCCGAAAATGGGCCGTCGCTATCCGTGAGATTCGTGAAGCCGATTCATCCATCAACAGGAGCGAATCAGATTAAGTACAAGTAGGAGCTATGCATTTACATTCGCTAGTACACACAAAGTGTTAAATACATATGGAAAAGATATGCGTAGGTAAGGACTAGAAAATATTCCCACTTCCTGCGATTAAACAGCAGACGACCCCAAAACCTGATTAACTCGCTAAATTCCGTCTGGTCCGCAATTACGTCGCTTCTCTAAGCACTGACCAAAATGCCAGTAGGATTTGTGTGCGGCCAGTCCGCTCTAGCTAAATACACTTATGAAAACAATTTCTAATCACCGTATGTGATAGATATTATAAAACCTTCTGCCATATGATTCCAAGTGCCCTGGGTTTAGCTGAAAGTGAGTATTGCAAGGCGAAGATAACACTGTAGGACAATATGAGGCCAGCTGATCGCTTTTTGCGTTCGGTTCACTTGAACTTACTGCGGTTAAGCATGTTTTTTTTCCTGAAAAATGTATTTGTAAAAGCCTCAGGCGGATTAGGTGGGCGGACATTTGCAACGGACATTTCAAGGTTGAAGCACGCGTGACCTGGAAACTCCAGTAAGCCCCTGCGCACAGCGCCGCTTATGCCAATGCCTATCCAATCAACCTCCAGAATTCATTTGTCCTTAGAAGGCGCGCAAAGCCATTGGTCATGCGACAAAGAGCTTCGGAGAAAAAGTAGGTCGTCTAGCTGCCCTGACCACGTGTTCGCGTGGACTTTAAAGTCAAAGCCCACAGACCGATTGGAATCATGGGCTCATGTCAAAATTTCAGAAACTGTAATTAATTTCTGGCAGTCAGATAAAATGATCTGGCGGATTGTTGACGTCCATCAAAATGACGTGCCGACTACCTGATAATACTACTATTATTAGTGGTACAAATTCGCTCACACTGTTTGAGGTTGTCTGCATTCAAGAAGCCAGCTAAATCGTTGACCGACATTATGTCCTTACACGCTCCATGTTTTCAAGTGCTTTATTCGAGTGAACCAACCAGCTGACTAGCATAGGGTATCTTCAGAGGTTGCTTCCAGCAATGAAACGGAACACCCCGAAACCTCATTAAATCACTAAATTTCGTCTGGTTCACAAGGATGTGGCTTTTCTAAGCAATTACAAAAACTCCGGCAGGATTTATGTACGACCCAATGCGCTGTAGATAAACGTATTTATCCAGGCAGTCTTAACTCATCGTATGCGATAAATTTTATGATACTGGCAGAAGGACATTACCAGCAAAGACAAGGGACATTGGGAAGGCCTTTTCTGCCTTATTAGGCGTCATCGGCTAGTGATACCCAACCCC